ACCACGAGCCCCGGACAGGAAAGAATAGCCACTTGTACAACCCCCCCCCCGGACTGACATTGACCGACCCCTTTTTGTACACACCCCCGTCTTCCGGTTTCGGTTCGGGTTAATACACGCACGTTGTTCCTACACTTCGGTCTTCTTCCCCGTAACACCCGACCTGTGCGTGTGCTTGCTGTGTATACTGTGTGGATTCATTAATACCAGTCCGTATATCTGTACATTTAAGAACTGACGTCTGCCGTCGCTACATTCGAACGTCGATTAATACCAGTCCGTATATCTGTACATTTAAGAACTGACGTCTGCCGTCGCTACATCCTCTCGAACGTCGAATACCGCTGACTTCCTGACGTCGCACGCTACAAAGCTGTTCTGAACGCCAGCTAACTGATTGAGCTCTTATTTGGGCTTCGGTCAGCCAGAATCACAATATTTTTTATCATAGAGCGAACTTTTAGCTTTTAGACACCAAAAAATGGGTAACTGGTTTTCCGCTTTTCCGTTTCATTAGGTTAACCAGTGAAATATACGTTATACAATATACAATCTTTACGTATTTGAGATTGCATGTGTGAGCTTCATGTTCTCTACAGTTAGAGAAAGAGAACAAAGACTCATGTTCCGTGACGGGAATTTTGTGACCGTTAATTTACATACATGGTTACTTCCCAGCTTGTCTAATCAAGAGCGTATTTAGTTAAGTTCTACTGGTTTCGTCAATACTTTCCCCTGGTCTTACGATCGGATCCCGTAGAATACCTCTCAGTTTGCGGGTTGCGCTGACTTCTTTTTGACCTAATGATGTATAAGTGGTTTGAGATGTATTCTTATTGTGAGACGTACATGTATTGTTCCTTTTTCTCGCCTTCGCTTCTGTCATAGTATTTAATTACGAAAGCATTTCTAATAGAATTTCCAGGATCTGCGTTTTTACAGAGGTTTTACTGGAATGCGGTTTTATTGGTATATTTGTAATTTTGGTGCGCTCATTGGTGACTCATCGGGCAGCCATTGATTTGTTTGTCAATCTTATTAATTAACTCGCAACTTTTGGTCACCAATCAGTATCAGTGCGCGGTTATTCGGTCACTTTCTATTTACCTGTATGGTCCTGTGTTTGTCAAGGACCAGCTTGTATTTGCTTTTAAGATTGGCAGATAGAAGCGCGCCTAACTATAAATCCCATTGCCCCATTTCGAGCTGTCTTGCGTTTTATCCGGTGTCCCTTTAGCAACAACAATGGGTCAGGTATTTCCTGCTCGCCCACCCCTTAAATGATTGCTTTCTGATGTCTCAAGAGCCACGTACGTTTTTGAGCTGATCTCTCCATCCGTTTCGCTTCCTTCTGGTTGTGCATCTCTTTTGATCCAGGAGCTGCTTTCGTCGGTTTTACTTCAGTTGACATTGCTGTGGGCCACCAAGTTAAAGGGACTCCGTGTGAATGCTTGTCCGTCGTTGACCACCTTTGCACATTTAGTTTGACAACTTTTATATCAGCAACCGTTCAAAATGCCGACAGTCACTGGCTGTTTATCGTACCTCCCAAAAGACCCAAAGGTAGGTTCATGACGCCCTGAGCGCTTGGTTGCTGATGAGCTAAGGACTCAATTACTGTTGTGGCTTCCAGCATGCGCATTTGGGCGTAGTCACTGCTGGTGAAGTTCATCTGGCTGGTCATCTTCTACTGAACTCAAGAGGCACGGACAAAGGCAAACGTAAACCACAAATGTGCTGCTGATTAACTGTTGTCGTGCAGTACTAACTTCCGAAACAACCAAAGTTATCCAACCCCGAAATGACTCTCACATGGAAGCCAACTCCAAAGATAGACAAATAACTCCATCACTATCTGAAAGGTGTGACGGTGAGCTATCGGTTTTCGCTGGTTCACGGGCACTACCGGTGATTGGGGTGAAATAGTTGTTTTGTTGCTCTTTCTTGGTGGATCGTTCAGCAGCGCACAAGGTGGGCACACCGCGCCTGAGCATTGATAGCTCTCCAACCATGATGTAAAGCCAGCTTAACAAAACCACCAAATCAAGTTCACTTTGAGCAACACACATTCCTTGACCCTTGCTGGGAGGTGTTGTTCGTATACATGCTGGGACATCCGCTTTTGAAATGGCGTAACCGACTGTATCTACATCTACGTTTAGGAAATGAGAACGGTTGAACAATTTCAACAGCAATTTAGCTGACCACCTGTGGTCGATCGGCATGAGTTCCGTCCTATAAGACAGCCTCGGACATTGAACACTGAATCCTCGACGGCCTTGAGAATGAAAGAGTATTTTTCGCCACAAACGCCAATCAGTTGTTCGCACTGATGTAATCTGTCTGACTGCTTGCATAAGTCATGTGACTGTCTGGGTGAGGAATGCCACCCAATTCAACTGGGGACTAGCAGTGAGTGCAGCGACTATAAAATCTAAAATCAACATCTTGTGAGTGCATTTGAAGATGGCTGTTGAGAAGATCAGGTAAGATTCCAACGGTGAAGGGGTCGTTTGGGCCACTTTTTTGTACCCCCTGTCACACTTTGCAGCAATAACCTGCGTTTTGCATCACCACTCCGTGCGCTATAAATGCGGCAGACCAGCAGGATAGACGAAAAGTCGAGGAATCCGAAACAGTTCGTAAGCTAAACGTATCTTTTATGAATAAACAGTGCGCAAAGCGCTGACATCCAGTGATTTTTTTGTCCAAGGAGGCGGAGAAACCACATAGCGGTCATGTCCTATTATCTTGAACACAACCATAAGGTTTCTAAATTCTCATACGATCAGCTTCCAGTAAATCGATGGCCCCGTACCTACAAAGCCCTGTTGATGTAAGGAATACCGTCAGATGACGTCGTCCTCATATTCCGGACCGAAAAATTTTTCGTTGGAGGCCATTTGAACACCTGTGTTTGTATCATTATTTTATCAATCACGAAATTAAATAACAATGGAGAGGGTAGGCACCCTTGATGGATACCACCTTGTAAACGTAAGCTTTTGGAGAGCCCTCCGTATGCTCTCATATGTCCGAAAGCCTGAAAATATAAAGAACGCATTTTGTTATCAAACTTCTTGGGCATTCCTTGATGGGCAAGCGTGTCAAGAAGGACAGACCAGATAACGGAGTCAAGTGCGCCTTGGAAATCCAGCAATACTAAAATTGTGGGTGGTTTGCACGTATGGCGTTTTTCTAGCAGCTGATAGAGTGTAAAAATTTGGTCAACACAATCCCCACCAGCCTGGAATCCTGCTTGCTGCTCTCTGGTCAGTGTCTCACGAGCCACCATAAGGCAACAAAGAAAAACTGATGCCAACAGTCTGGTTACGACGGGAGTCAAGTCAATTCACACACTGTTACTGCATGTCACTTTTAGAAAATGGGCACAACTCTCTTCATTTGTCTGGGGCGGTCATCTTTTCCCAAATGCTGTGCGATAATTAGAATAGTGGTAGGTATCT